AATCATTTAAATTAAACTTGATTTATGAGGTTGTTTAGATGCAGGCATATTACAACAATCCAATACTGATATATGAACAAGACAGTCCAATTCGTTATACAATAAAAGCACCAACAGACTAGACTGTGCATAGAGTAAGCATATGCTCTTAGTGAAGGATATATTCCATTACCACATTAATAATTGGTGACCTTAAGCTCAGTTAAGAAGGGGGTGGGGGATCCAAAAGGCTGCAAAAATAAAATTCAGCATGTAGAAGAAAAAGAAAACTACTAATAAAAATATATTAGAATATGTTTAATCTCTTTATAGCAACTGCTCATGGAGAGCCTGTGTTTTTGCCAACTTGCTGATAAACCAGGTTTGTGCATTAATATTTCATTCTTTGGGCGTCTTCTGAAGGAATCATTTGGTTTGCCGTCAGCAGCAATTGGGGACATCCCTCCTGGATCGTGAATCTTAAAATCACAGGATGCTCTGTGACCTTGGAGAAAAGACCTTGAACTGGAGCAGTAGAAATTCATATGCATAAAAAGCTCTTGGAAAACAAGAAGAAAACACTCTGGCACCTCAAATTATAAATTGCATATTGCTGAGGACACCCTTATATTGTCCAACCCAGGGGCTTTATGGTTTTGTATATTGCAGCCTTCTGATCTATCTTTATTGTTGTTGTAATATTTTTGTGTCTATTAATAATAAAGGAAATTTAAAAAAAAATAAACATTATAAATTGCATAACCATAAAAAGAGCCAGTCTGCTGTAAAACAGGCAAACAAAAGGCCAGTCAGCTAACAGGATAACCAAATGGTATAAGATACCTCCAAAGAGGCATAATCCACTCAAATGAACTATGCATACTGTGAAATGTTTACCTCCATGGAGCACAACAAACGCATCAGTCCAGAAGAGATGAGCTCAGCTAAGGGATGCTGCCTTTTTATAAGAGCAGACTTACATGTTAGCCTTGTGGTGAAGTACTAAAGTGACACTAAACTCAGAAGTTCAATCTTAAAAATACATTCAAGTACCTTAACTAATAACAATAATGTATCTTATTCGTGTATCACTCAGCTGTAGATCCTCAAACCATCACTGAATTGGTGCTGACACTATCCTTCCTTCTGGAGGGGGGCTACTTTTGTTCCCCATGGTCCCCGTGTGTGTTGTAAAGTAGTCACCTCTCCAAGCTCACTCCCATGATGGACTACAATCGCAATACAAAATCAGTAGGGATGCACCAATACCGTTTTTTTGGTATCGAGTACGAGTAAATATATTTCTTTTCCAGTACTCGCCGATACCGAATACTGATACCAGAAGTCCCATTAAGGAAGCCGGGTAGCGTGTAATGAGGGTGCATGGAGCCGGCTTCCCGGCCAATCAGAAAGTCGGAAGTCATTACACGACGCCCAGCTTCCTGATACCAGACGGTCTGGTATCGGGATAAGTATCAGGAGCATTTGGGCGAGTACAACTACTTGCCCAAATACTCGATATCAGCACTGATACTGGTATCGGTGCATCCCTACAAATTAATAAACTAAACATGAGATTTTAGTCTTGCCCCTCCCTTTTAGATTGTAAGCCCTCAGGGGCAGGGCCCTCCTTACCATCTTGTCTTGAATTGTATTGTAATATCTTCCTTATATTGTAAAGTGCTGCGCAAACTGTTGGCGCTATATAAATCCTGTATAATAATAATAGTCCATCACAGGAGCGAGCTTGGAGCAGTGACTACTTTACAACACACAGAGACCATGGGGAACAGAAGTAGCAGCCCTCCACAAGGAAGGACAGTGTCAGCATGTATTCAGAGATGATTTGAGGATCTAGAGACGAGCGATATACAAATAAGATACATTTGTGTTAATAGTTAAAAAGGTACTGGAATGTATTTTTAAGGTTTAACTTCTGAGTCACTTAACGTAATCAAGTACATAACATTCAGAGACTTTGATAAACTAAATTTCCTGTGTTACAAGTTAATTACAGGTACTTGGACAGCGCTGCACTTTAAAAAATTGTACATTGCCCTTGCACTCAATAATCCAGATACTATCCAATTCACGGTCAATGTACAGCACTGAACACAAGTCAAATGCGCTAATATTATCCAGATATATTTCCGATCCTCTGTAATAAATGTCCATAGCAGCATGGGGATAATACTTTAATTTTAAAGTGCCAAAAGAAAAAAATAATAATTTATATGTGACCCACATTTAATAAATCTGGCCCTGGTGTATTTTACTAGGATAGCTGCAATTAATGGCTCTGGTGTGAAGAATCAGCAACATAGGCATACAGCACCAAGAGATTAATTATGCTGCTATTTATATCCTCTGCCCATTAAATAGGATGCAGTGTTCCTATTATCTCTCATTTGCATTTCAGAAGGGGTCAAAACCAGCACCAGATGGTTTACTTCAATTCCTTATCAGCTTTTAACTAGGGGTATCTGAAAGGTACATCTTGGGTGGTGGTGGAGGGGGATGGGGTTTCATTAATGTCTCTAATGAACAAATACTTAGAACATTTATACTAGGGGAAGCCGCACTTTGCTTTTTTTTTTTTCAAATACGATTAAATCAATAAGAAACCATTTTAATGAACTTGACTGTGCATAAGTAAAAGCCTTCTGAAGTCTACTAGAAGGATAGCAGAAAATTACGGGGAAGAATAAGTTCTCAATGGAAAAAACAAACAAATGGTGTCCTAGTTACCCATCAGTAGGCCTAATAAATAATTCCTGCCTTGCATCAGGTTTGTAAACACATTAATATTTTATTATAATTGCTTTTGATCTTTATAAAACACTGACTGGGAAGCATGGCTAAAAAAAAAGTACATACCCAGCAAGTATATAAATATAATATTTTAACATTCTTGCTACAGATTAAAAAAACAAAACAGAACTTTAAAATTTCAGTATTGAAGAATGCGACACCTTAATCCATGGATGTGGACTACTACTGGCCAGATTGAGATCACGTCTGTGACTTCAATCTGCTTGGATGCTCCATGATATAATCACTGGTGCCTGTATACAGTATAAGGGCCAATTTACAGCAGCTGCTGTGTGGTACCCAACACAGTTCCGATGCACCGATCCCGGCACATCGCACTGTGTACTTTTTGTTACTTTATTGCAATGTCACAAGTGACATTTCATTAGGTTCTACAGGCACAGCAAGGTGCGAGATGGTTGTACTGCATTGCATCCCGCTGCACTGAAAAAGAAAAATACTGCATAGCGTATTTTTTTTTGTTTTTTTTAAGCACACACCACTGCAATGCCCGTGTGTTGTTGTGGTATGAACCAAACCTATACGTGGCCAGGAAAACTGCCTTGCGTTGGGTCTGCTCTGAAAGAAAAAAAAAAGACAGGGCTGCCCCAATGTATATGGGCCCTAAGTCATCACACACCCTAGATTGACACTTTGGCAGATATCACCAGATACAATGAAGCAGCTTCAATGCTATCTGCGCACACATACACACCCTTGGTAAGTAACGTCTTGGCAGTAACTAGGCAAACGCCCTATTAAACGTTTATACTTCAGAATAGTAACAAGTTAGGCACATGACAGATTGCAATGAAGACACGGAGATGAACTAATCGATTTGCAAGTGTGGCAAACCTCATCCTTTTTTCAGGCAATTTCCGGTTGGCCTTAATATATTTATACAGATTTGCCCATGGTATGAAGGATGCTGCAATTTATGAATCGGGTTCATCAATTATGCCGTGATCTACCTAGGGTCCAAATCTGAAGCAAATCAAAATGTTCATTTTCAAACTGATAAATCGATAAACTCACCTCGAGAAGACATAAAAAACGGACAAGCTGGACATCACAGATTAAGAGACGGAAGTACCAAAGAATAGGAGAGAAGGACACAAATAAACTGGTACATGCATGTTAGCAAAGCAGCCAGCGGTGACCCCGGATCAGAAGGTCACAGGTGGCTGAACTACATGGACAAGTTAGGAAACAAAAAAAAATGACATGCACACGAAGGGCTTGTTCACACCAGCACTCATGTCAAAATGGTTGCAGACTGGCGTTCACCATGTAGCCGAGGTGCTTTATGTTTTCAACTTTTTTTTTTCCAACTTTATTGAAATCTCAAAAGAATTACATTAACTTCTATGCATCACGCGTTGACATTCAGAAGAGGAGGTTAGCAGCACTGCGAAAAAATGCAGCACGTCTTTTTTTCCCGCAAGGCACCTTAATGCAGCCTTATGGTGCAAACAGGGCACCTAGAAAAGGATTGTGCCCTGGCACTGACCCTGCCTCCGTCCGATGCGGTGTGAACGAGCCCTAACACTATTACCATATAATGGTTTCGCTGCCTAAGGACAGCCAAGAAGGATATTAATAAAACATATGAGCACCAACTGCAGATAGAACACGGATCACTCGGCGTACACCACACACGGCAGTGATTAATCTGCTCTTCTGCATGGCATGGACAGAACACGGTTGGTTCTACACATAGCGATGTGCATGTAGACATTCCTGCAATGTAGCACGCTTGTCATCCATTGGACCCATAAAGAAGCCTCGGGCTGGGGAAATGGCATGGTTTAATAAATATGCTGGTGTTTTATTGGTGAACACAATTGTAGCCCATCAGTCCTGTGCCTGGCACCATGCAGAGATGGAAGCAGATGTCACCCTGCAGATACATGATAGAACATGCACATCGTATGTATAGAAGAACACACACAGCCATCTGTACTAAGCCTGCCTCCATTACTGATGATACCCCCCACCACCATGTACCGGCTCCCCCCCACCCCCGCTAAGCCTGCATCCCTGGGAGTAGCCTGGCACTATGAGCGGAGAATACAGCTTCCCATACAACAGATGCCTCCCTCTGCGCTTCTCTCGCTCTTATGCTGAGATCATTGTCAGCCCTCTCCCTTCAGCCTCTTCTACGAACCCGCTGCCCATCTCCCTGCACCACACAGCGCACTTCTCCTTACCGTTCTGGGTGCCGCTGGCCGGTCCCGGGACAAGGCCGCACAGCACTAGCAGCACCAGCAGGAGGGCGGCAGGCAGAGGGTGAAGGTTGCAGCGGTCCATGTGCGCACTGAGAGAGGAAGACACAGCCAGACGGGTGTCCAGTCTCTCGGGCCTGGGATCCGGTGTCCGCCGCTCCCCCCTTTCGGTCTCCTCCCGCAGCTAGCACCCGAGTCTCGCGAGAGCCGCCTGTCGTCCGTGGGCAAGAGAATGAGGAGGGGCCATCCCTGCGTTAATTGTGGGCAGGAGGAGGCGGGGTCAGACTTCTCGAAGATATGCGCATGCGTGGTGTGGCTGTGTGTGCCCTCCTCTTGGTCCCGACGGCGGAGGCGGTTGGAAGCAGGAATCGCTAAGAGGGCGGTTTAATAGAATATATAGTTTAATAAAGCGCTGTATGCCGTACACAACTGACATATTTAATCAAATACTTATTTTCACCTTTGTTGCTTCTCAGTTTTCTTGTTCACATGCAGCCTCTTCATCCATGAATGCACTGCAGCCATGGCTGGTAGGCTCTACCATAACTCCCAGCATATGAACAGGTCACTGCAAGGGCACATAGAAAACAATGGTTGTCTATGTACCTCGTTCATGCCACAAGAACATATGCAGCAAATGTAATGAACACTAGTGCATGAAAATGCAACACAGCAACTGAAGGAAAGAAAAATATATAACTAGGACTGAATAATGCTCGACAACAGATGACGTTCAAACACACAAGGCGTGTGAAAATGCATGTTAACCCATGCAGACACATGCATTTTTTATGAATTGGGGTTAGTCACTATGTGCGATATGGCATAATAGGGCCCTCACTGGTCTCTGCCTTCCCCTCCCCCCAAAAATAAATAAATGTATCAAAGTGAGCAGACAGAATTTGGAGCGGTTGCCACTAGTAACCAACCAGCTTCTCTCTTCCATTTGTTCAGTTAGGCTTTAAAAATAAAAGAGGGAAGCTGATCCCTTCCAGTTTTGATAAATTGCTCTCTTTATATTATGAGGAGGTACATTCTAGGTTTGCCTAGATGCAAACCTGGGAAGTGCAGGGAGGGGGACAAGAAAAAAAAAATGTACAAGAACCCTAGTAAACGTCAGAAAACACAAGAACTCTGAATAAACAAAGATCACAGCATATACAAAGGAAAGAGGGGTGCACCCCCCCAAGCCACCTAGGTCACCCCCATGGGCTAAAAAGCTGTAGGGGAATGAACCAGGCCCACACCAAGAGGGGACGTGAACTCCCTCAAATGGTTGGACCCTGCACCAAAGTTCCCCCACTATGAGCGTGTCAGGAGGGTCACAGTTAATATTCCATCCGTCACTCACTGCCATGGATGGCATATTATTAACGGTCACAATGAACAATTACAAAATAATCATTTGTAAATAAATGGCGGTATCCTTGTTAATCCCATCTGTATGTAAACGCAGATACTGGGTTGGCGCATGAGAAATGCCTACGAAAAATGTGACGCCAGCATCTATGTTAATCAGGAAGCCAGGAGGCGGGTCGTAACATGCCCCCAGGCTTCCTAATCAATCAGGAAGCCAGGTGGTACATCATGACTCGCATCCCGGCCTCCTGGTTAGAAAGCCACGCTGCCTAGAAAAAATTGAAGCCAACTTCCTAGCCAATCAGGAAGCCAGAAGGCTGGCCATGACGTGCTGTCCAGCTTCCTGATTGGCTAGTAAGCTGGATTCACTTTTTTTCTAGGCAGCCTGGTTTCCTAACCAATCAGAAAGCCGGGACGCGAGTCATGACTGTTCCGCCCGCCTTCCTGATTGGTTTGGAAGCCAGGCTGCCTTGAAAACATGCCACGCAGAGTACAATAAGACCAGAAGCCCCACAGGCCGCACACCACATCAACAAAATAAAAACAAGCATTCCGGGCCAAATGTCAGTTATATTCCAACCATGGGGACCACATGTTAACAGCCTTTTCCTCTGACCACCAGGTCCGCCCTCCTCCAGCACAGTGTATGCCTACACTGATGCCTCCTGGTATATGTGACGTGGCTATCTCAGAAGGCTTTAGGAGTGGGGTACATATTCTTCTCACCTAGGTGTGAATGGAAGCCGGGGTGGGGCAAGAGAAAGCTGGCCCTCTGATGACATGCAACAGCACAGTAGAGTACCCCGAGGCCTCCTGGGATGTGTGCCGTGGGTATCTATGTCATTCACACCCAAGCGAGAATCCAGGAAGGTAAAAAAAAAAAAAAACGATAAAAAGTCGAATTCTGAGAGAGGAGGGGGATAGGGGTAAGATGACATAAAGTGGGTGGGGTGAAGTTTAAATGCTCATTTGTTTAGAAGCAATAAGCAGCTATACTTCGCTTATTGCTCAATTGTCCAAACAGCCAGAACTCTTCTCCGCTCTCTAACCCTCCAGGAGGTGGACGGGCCCTCACCATCCTTATGTACAATGCAGGACTGCACTGACACCTTATAGGAGGAAATGCCTGAACCAGGACTTTTATGGCAGGAATACCACCAGCTATTTTTTTTTTTTTTTACTGAAAACTAGGGATGCACCGATACTGGTTTCGGTGTATCGGTGCCGATGCCGAGTATTTGGGTGAGTACTCATACTCGGCCAAATGCTCCGATGCCTAGCCAGATATTTCCTGTATCAGGAAGCCGGGCAACACGTCATTACATGCTGCCCGACTTCCTGATTGGCCGGGAAGCCGGCTCCATGCTCCCTCATCACTTGTGACAAGAGAGCACGGAGCCGGCTTCCCGGCCAATCAGGAAGCCAGGCAGCGTGTAATGACTCGCTGTCCGGCTTCCTTAATGGTCGGGAAGCTGGCCAATCAGGAAAGCCGGCTCCATTATTACTCATCAAATAGTGACGAAAAGCATGGGGGCGGCTTCCCTGCCAATCGGGAAGCCGGGTGGCGAGTCTTTACATGCCGCCCGGCTAATCAGGGAGCCAGGTGGCGAGTCATTACACGCCGCCTGGCTTCCTTAAATGGGACTTTTGGTATCAGCGAGTACCAAAAAAATATCGGTACTCGTACGAAATACCGGTATCAGTGTATCCTTACTGAAAACTGCAGAATTAAAAATGAAAATAACTTGAAATTACAATGACATGTTAAAGTTCATATGAGATTTTAGAGGCTGGGTTTCTATCTACTGTGATGTTCAGAGGTGTTAACAACAGTGGTTTGTATTCAGTGATGACTTTTAAAGCTATTTCGTCACAAACAACAGTATTTTATTTGCCTTAAAGGCCAACAATTAACATTAAAAATAAATTAGCTTCTCTTCAGCAAAATGTAAATCAAAGTCCAAAACAGTTGGTACAGGAAGACAAAACCAGACTCACCGCGTCAAGGGCTGTTTTTCTGCAAGAGGGTTATCAAAGTCCCAGAGTCTTGGGGTGTTCCTTAACAGGCAAGCAAGCAAGCACATCACCCTCTCTGCAAACAATCTCTTTCAAAAAAGATCCCGCCTCACTACTCCAACAGCTCTCTACAGTTCCATGTCTTTAAACACCCACTCCCACAGGCCAGTCAACTTTGTTGCCCCTTAAAAGGGACCACAACCTAAACAGAGGGGACACAGCCATTCACCTATACATCTCACTCAAACCGCCCTTCAGCAAGGTCAGCGTGGGTAGTGCAAGCATTTGGCAAAGATACTCTACGGATGGTCAGCTTAAAGGAGAACTATGGGGTTAGGGCATTTCCCCATAGTTCTCCTTAGGGTAACCCTCCTTAGGCACCCTAAGCTCAGTATACCGCGAGCTACAGCTCGCGACATACGGAGACGCCTCAGCTGAAACGAATCCCGACAATTATGTCTGATCCGCCCAGCTGCATGACTGACAGCTGGCTCTGCCTATCTAGAGGCAGAGCCAGCTGTACCCGCCCCCTCCCCCGTCCAGTCAGCACTGGCGGAGCGGGGAGGGGGGAATCCAGCCCCTCCCCTGTCACGGCAAAGAGACGTGACAGGATCGAGAAGTGAGCGAACGCCCGTATGTGTCCGCTCACTTCCCGATCTACTGAGCCGACCTGTGACAGTCTCATTGTCACAGGTCGGCTAGAACAATGAGGTGAGTGAGCACTCACCTCATAGTTTTCCTTTAACCTAGAACCCAGCTGCTTGCTAATCTCAGCATGACAGTCACAACCTTCACTGTTTATCAATGTGTGCAAAAACCTTCAGTGCTAGCCCGTGCAATCACCCCCTTCCCCCCTAGAATTGAATGGAGCTGCACTTTCTGACTGGACACATGTCCAAGTTAGGTCTATGAGGGCTTACTGTACATGCACAGTTTCGGTCTAAAAATTTCATTTCAGGGCATCCCTAGTAAACATGTATGAGTAAACTTCTCATTCTATTCCCTGTGCTGTGTTTTCAATGTCATTTTCTTGTTTTGGACTTCAAGCAAATGATTACATATGTACGTGTGTAAAATGTATGTACTCAGATGCAGATTTTTCGATTTTGTGCTACAGATCTAAATGCAGCACGTTTACATGTGTGCATGTCCCCATTGAAAACAATGCACTTGCATGCCGATGTGTAATCTGTGATTTGCTTTTTTTTTTCCGGCTGTGTGCATGTGGCCTAGTGCATAATAAACAACTGGGATCATTTTTTATGTAGTAGGGCTTTATTTTCCACTTGTTAAGCTGGCCATAAACCACTGGAATTTCAGCCCATCAGCAGTGTGTGGTCCCCTCAGGGCCTCCCCCTTCCAATTCGACAAAAGTAAATTTTTAAATCAACTTTTGGCAAAGGGAGGCAGTCCAAAATTTCCCCGCCAACAGCCAAGCAGCTGCAGGCACTATTTAGATATTCTAAAAGTGGCACACCCGCCGCTGTGAGAATTCAATAGACCAGGAGGAGAATCTGGCGTTTATTCTTTTTTGGTCTGCAGGACTGAATGAAAAAAAACAACTGCACTGCAAGGGTTAAAATAAACACATATTTCTTTCCTATGCTCTTCAGTTCCAGCTAGTGGCCATAATGCAGGATTTTCCTAATATTACATTCGATTTGAAAAAATATATATTCTTAGAACGTTTATATTTGCCTCCATTCCCAAAGAATGAACACGTCCAGTTTTGCTGGATGAATGGCTCTGCAAATTGTTTATAAATAGACCTCTCTAAGACAGATGCTTATCTTTGTGTTAATGGATAAGTATTGGGAGAGTAAGAAAATAATCTTCCCAATGCTTAGAGCTGTTGTGGGTCACTGCAGCT